ATCTGTCAAATTAAATTCTAGACGCATTAAGCACTTAATTATTTCATTTAATTTCAAGACCAGTTACTAATCTAAATTAGCTCTTCAAGCACCTTTCCGTAGCGGCGGAAATTGCTTGCCGTGATAACCCTAGACAGCAGTTGAGAGTCGTTTGGGAAGGCCAGAGGATAGCAGACAGACGAAGTGTTGGCTATGTAAGTGGTGGACCACAGGTGTGGTGGACCCACAGGTGTGGTGGACCACAGGTGTGGTGGACCACAGGTGTGGTGGACTACAGGTGTGGTGGACCCACAGGTGTGGTGGACCACAGGTGTGGTGGACCCCTAGGTTTGGCGGACCACAGGTGTGGTGGACCCACAGGTGTGGTGGACCCACAGGTGTGGTGGACTACAGGTGTGGTGGACTACATGTGTGGTGGACCCACAGGTGTGGTGGACCCACAGGTGTGGTGGACCACAGGTGTGGCGGACCACAGGTGTGGTGGACCCATAGGTGTGGTGGACCACAGGTGTGGTGCACCACAGGTGTGGTGGACCACAGGTGTGGTGCAACACAGGTGTGTTGTGTCCCCTCAGCTGTCCTCTTGCCCTCTCAGCTTTCTCTTTGCTTTCTCAGCTTCATTCTTTCTCTCTCAGCTTTCTCCTTCCCCCCCCCCCCCCTCGAGCTCTCATATCCATTTCATCTTCAGCTTTCCCTTATACTTTCCCGTTTCCTCTCCCTTCTCAGAACTTTCACTTTTTAAGATCTTAAATCCTTTTCTTTCTCGTATTCCCCTCTCCCTTACATTTCTCCCCTCTCTCCTCCCTTTCTCCCCTCTCCCCTCCCTTTCTCCCCTTATATGCACTACTTTATTGAATTCTCGGTATTAATTTAGTTAAGAATCTGCTACGGAGGAAGATATCTACAGGGTGAGGGGGGGACGAGGGTGTCTTAGACGGCAGGGTGAGGGGGGACGAGGGTGTCTTAGACGGCAGGGTGAGGGGGAACGAGGGTGTCTTAGACGGCATGGTGAGGGGGGACGAGGGGGACTTAGACGGCAGGGTGAGGGGGGAACAAGGGTGTCTTAGACGGCAGGGTGAGGGGGGAACAAGGGTGTCTTAGACGGCAGGGTGAGGGGGGAACAAGGGTGTCTTAGACGGCAGGGTGAGGGGGGAACAAGGGTGTCTTAGACGGCAGGGTGAGGGGGGAACAAGGGTGTCTTAGACGGCAGGGTGAGGGGGGAACAAGGGTGTCTTAGACGGCAGGGTGAGGGGGAACAAGGGTGTCTTAGACGGCAGGGTGAGGGGGGGACGAGGGTGTCTTAGACGGCAGGGTGAGGGGGACGAGGGGGACTTAGACGGCAGGGTGAGGGGGACGAGGGTGTCTTAGACGGCAGGGTGAGGGGGGGGGGACGAGGGTGGCTTAGATATCAGTAGTCTTTGCTTGGGCAGCAGAAAATAACATGTTTAACAGTGATAAAATCCAGGTACTCAGGTACGGTAAAAATGAGGATCTGAAATATAATACAGGGTACAAAACACAATCGAATCTGTCCATAGTAGGAAAACAGCATGTTAAGGATTTGGGAATAATGATGTCTGACGACCTAACGTTTAGGGAGCATAACCAAGCAAATATTGCGTCAGCCAGAAAAATGATAGGATGGATTACGAGAATTTTCAAGTCCAGGGATCCCATCACAATGGTTGTACTCTTCAAGTCACTTGTGTTGTCCCGTCTTGAGTACTGCTCAGTACTCACTTCCCCCTTCAGAGCAGGAGAGATTGCTGAAATAGAGGGAATACAGAGAACATATACGGCACGCATAGACGAGATAAAGCACCTAAATTATTGAGATCGTCTCAAAGCTCTCCAAATGTACTCACTGGAAAGGAGACGAGAGAGATATCAAATAATATACACCTGGAAAATATTGGATGGCCAGGTCCCTAATCTACACAGTAAAATAACAACATACTGGAGCGAAAAATACGGAAGGAAGTGCAGAACAGAACCAGTGAAGAGTAGAGGTGCCATAGACACAATCAGAGAACACTGAACATCAGAGGTCCACAGCTGTTCAACACCCTCCCAGCAAGCATTAGAAATATTGCTGTAACAAAGATGGACGTCTTCAAGAGGCACTTAGATAAGTTCTTGCAAGAAGTGCCGGACCAACCAGGTTGTAGTGGATATGTGGACCTGCGGGCCGCTCCCAGCAACAGCCTGGTGGACCACGTTATCACAAGTCAGGCCGAGCTCAGGGAGTAGGAGAACTCTGGAAACCCTATCCAGGTATGCTCCGGGTATACCACGGGAGCGTGAGAGCCAGGAGGAAATATAACGGTCAGTGAATATGGCGTCACAGCGAACGTAGCAATTAAGAGCAGGAGCCAGAGATCAAAGGTGCCATCACAGGCAGGTTTGTACCTCAAGGCTTGAGTGACGGAGCACCTGGTCTGTGTGGGTCCCCTTTGTTGAGGTCACACTCCACACCACACGCAATATTTTCTTTCCCCTCTCCCTCTCCCTCTTCTCTCTCCCCTCTCCCTCTTCCCTCTACCTCTCACCTCGTATTCCCTCTTCGTCGCCTCAGTCAAAGCCATCTCGCTTGTGCGTTCTTGCTCTTGTCAAAATTTAATTAAGTTCCTTCAGTAATTGGTAGGTGGAGGTTCCTCAGAGGACGGCCGGAGGACCACCTCTCTTGTGGGTGTGGCTGCTGGCCCGGCTGGACAGGGAGGGAGGGATAGGAAGGATAGAGAGGGAGGGAGGGAGGTGTTGAAGTCATGCAGGTCAGGAGGAAGCAGTGTGTGTGTATTAGGCCAGCGACGCCTCCATCCCCGACGGTGTGTGGGGGGTCCGTTGTCATTCTGCCACACTGCTCGCTTCTTATGTGGGGGGCAGTGTGGTGGGGGAGGGGGGCCATGTGGAGGGGGCCATGTGGGGGGGGGGCTATGAGGAGGGGGCCATGTGGGGGTGGATTCTGAGGGGGCATAATAATGTTGTTAGAGAGGACATGTTGAGACAGAGATATATGCAAGATAATATTTACCTTATGGGAGAAATATGTTGAAATGAATGCATTAATTTTCAGGTAAATATGACAGCAAACAGGTCGAGAGTCACAGTACTAGAGCACCGACAGCTGGTAAGGCGGGGCTCAAGAGTTAGTATTCAACTCTTCAAATACAATGAGAAACATCATTGAAGAGTCCTTGTCTAATTATATGTATATCCATAACCAATTCTGAAATACTACACATTAATTATTTTGTGTTCTTCAGTCAGTTTGAAGGTTGGTGTTGCGTTGATATAACTCCTATAGGCACGTAGCTACAAGACCATAAGACTCATTCACATATGTTTGTCCTACGCTTGAAACAATCAGGTTGAGCCTTCTACTATGTCACCCGGGAAGTTGTTCCATAAGTCAACACCCCTCCCCGTGATCAAACCAGTATTTACCCAGGTCTTTCCTAAATGTAAACTTGTAAGATTTATATTTATTGTTTCTTGTTCTATTCTGCGTTCATATACTTAAAATGGATTCCGGCAGTGAAAGATCTTTGCACGTTCTCTAAGTCAGCAGTTTCTCCAGCTTTGAATGGAGCTGCTAATGTGCAGTAATGGTCCACCCTAGAGAGCACTAGTATGCTATAATGGTCCACCCTAGAGAGCACTAGTGTGCAATAATAGTCCACCCTAGAGAACACTAGAGTGCAAAAATCGTCCACCCTAGAGAGCACTAGTGTGCAATAATGGTCCACCCTAGAGAGCACTAGTGTGCAATAATGGTCCACCCTAGAGAGCACTAGTGTACTATAATGGTCCACCCTAGAGAGCACTAGTGTGCAATAATGGTCCACCCTAGAGAACACTAGAGTGCAATAATGGTCCACCCTAGAGAGCACTAGTGTGCAATAATGGTCCACCCTAGAGAGCACTAGTGTGCAATAATGGTCCACCCTAGAGAGCACTAGTGTGCAATAATGGTCCACCCTAGAGAGCACTAGTGTGCAATAATGGTCCATCCTAGAGAACACTAGAGTGCAATAATGGTCCACCCTAGAGAGCACTAGTGTGCAATAATGGTACACCCTAGAGAGCACTAGTGTGCAATAATGGTCCACCCTAGAGAGCACTAGTGTGCTATAATGGTCCACCCTAGAGAGCACTAGTGTACTATAATGGTCCACCCTAGAGAGTACTAGTGTGCAATAATGGTCCACCCTAGAGAGCACTAGTGTACTATAATGGTCCACCCTAGAGAGCACTAGTGTGCAATAATGGTCCACCCTAGAGAGCACTAGTGTGCAATAATGGTCCACCCTAGAGAGCACTAGTGTACTATAATGGTCCACCCTAGAGAGCACTAGTGTGCAATAATGGTCCACCCTAGAGAGCACTAGTGTACTATAATGGTCCACCCTAGAGAGTACTAGGGTCTTGACGAGACCCATCACGTGTGTGGCAAGGTAAGGTTTTACTTTCCAAGTCTTTTATATGTCTTTGTCTTTCAATAGTGTGGTTTGACTGGGTTTAATATGCGGGTTTCCGTTTAAATATTTTCGTATTTTTTTCGTAGCCCAGGAGCTGGAACTTCGTTAAGCATGTGTGTGTCCCATTGTAAGACGATATATGTCTTATATGTATATATAGTTATATGTATGTAGGTAACTACATATTGGCACATGTACATCACACAAAGCTATTTTTTTTAACTCTCGTAAGCCGAAGTTTATCAATGACAATTATCTCTAATTAACGTTGATGTCGTTAGTTAATGATGACATCTAATTATATATGAACCCTCGAATTATCGATGACTTATCTATCGATGACTTCTCTATTGATGACCTCTCCATTGATGACCTCTATTGATGACCTCTCCATTGATGACCTCTCCATTGATGACCTCTCCATTGATGACCTCTCCATTGATGATCTCTCTATTGATGACCTCACCATTGATGACCTCACCATTGATGACCTCACCATTGATGACCTCTCTATTGATGACCTCACCATTGATGACCTCTCCATTGATGATCTCTCCATTGATGATCACTCCATTGATGACCTCTCCTTGATGACCTCTCCATTGATGACCTCTCCTTGATGACCTCTCCATTGATAACCTCTCCATTGATGACCTCTATTGATGACCTCTCCATTGATGACCTCTCCTTGATGACCTCTCCATTGATAATCTCACCATTGATGACCTCTCCATTGATGACCTCTCCATTGATGACCTCTCCATTGATGATCTCTCTATCGATGACCTCTCCATTGATGACCTCTCTATTGATGACCTCCCCATTGATGGCCTCTCTATTGATGACCTCTCCATTGATGACCTCTCTATCGATGACCTCCCCATTGATGACCTCTCTATTGATGACCTCCCCATTGATGGCCTCTCTATTGATGACCTCCCCATTGATGACCTCCCCATTGATGACCTCTCTATTGATGACCTCCCCATTGATGACCTCTCTATTGATGACCTCTCTATTGATGACCTCTCCATCGATGACCTCTCCATTGATGACCTCTCCATTGATGACCTCACCATTGATGACCTCTCCATTGATGACCTCACCATTGATGACCTCTCCATTGATGACCTCTCCATTGATGACCACCATTGATGACCACCATTGATGACCACTCCATTTAATGGTGAACCATTTATCTAGCGGTGATCTCTCTCAGTAGATAATAGTAGACCCCTAATTAGTGTCGACTCCTAATTAGAGGTGACCCGCCTAGTTAACGATGAGCTGTAAATAACGATGTCCTCTCGCTGTTGATGTAATTGATGTACTCTCTTTTGAACACCTTCCCTCCCCCCCTCCCCTAAGTAACGATAGCGTATCTGTAATTAGTCGTGACCTCGAATTCAGCGGAGACCCCCTAATTAGCAACGGCCCATTTCTAACTATGACCTTTCTCTTCAACTGGCGATGACCCCTGAATAAGGATAACACCTTGGATAAGGAAAGGATAAGGATAACATAAGGAAGGATATATAGGTATAAGATAGATATATAGGATAAGGAAGAATAAGGATAACACACCTGAATAAGGATAACATCTTGTTATCTAGAGATAACAAGATAACCTCTGATTAACAATGGCGCTTAAATAACGCTGACCCCATTCCAACATTTCACAACGGGGTAAGCCCCCTCGTTATTTCCCAGTTTAATAAAAAACGGGTCGGGGTTCGGGCGAGCAACACAGTACAAACTCTAATGATGTTAGAGTTACAAGACACGAACAAGATGGTGTTGTGACTGCGAAGTCGGGTTGCGAAAGGGATCTGGGAGAACATGAGAATAAAAGCACTGTGGAGAAATGCCCGACAGACCACTGGAATATCTTGAGGTTATCTTGAGATGATTTCGGGGCTTTAGTGTCCCCGCGGCCCGGTCCTCGACAAGGCCTCCAGCCCCAAGAAGCAGCCCGTGACAGCTGACTAACACCCAGGTACCTATTTTACTGCTAGGTAACAGGGGCATAGGGTGAAAGAAACTCTGCCCATTGTTTCTCGCCGGCGCCCGGGATCGACCCCAGGACCACAGGATCACAAGTCCGGCGTGCTGTCCGCTCGGCCGACCGGCTACCAAACATTATCTAACACAGTGCACAGTTACAACCACAACAGACCACTGGAACATTACCTAACACAGTGCACAGTTACAACCACAACAGACCACTGGAACATTATCTAACACAGTACACAGTTACAACCACAACAGACCACTGGAACATTATCTAACACAGTGCACAGTTACAACCACAACAGACCACTGGAACATTACCTAACACAGTGCACAGTTACAACCACAACAGATCACTGGAACATTACCTAACACAGTGCACAGTTACAACCACAACAGACCACTGGAACATTACCTAACACAGTGCACAGTTACAACCACAACAGACCACTGGAACATTACCTAACACAGTGCACAGTTACAACCACAACAGACCACTGGAACATTACCTAACACAGTGCACAGTTACAACCACAACAGACCACTGGAACATTACCTAACACAGTGCACAGTTACAACCACAACAGACCACTGGAACATTACCTAACACAGTGCACAGTTACAACCACAACAGACCACTGGAACATTACCTAACACAGTGCACAGTTACAAACCAATTAAAATTTCAACTTAGATTCAACAGAGCAGCAGAAGTTAAACACGCTGACCATAATCTTACTGAAGCGACCATACGAGTCATAAATACTCATACTCCGCCCAAGTAAAACAGAAACAAGCAACACTTAGTGGGCCAGCCAGAGGCTTAGGGCCCGCGCAGTGGGCCAGCCAGAGGCTTAGGGCCCGCCTAGTGGGCCAGCCAGAGGCTTAGGGCCCGCCCAGTGGGCCAGCCAGAGGCTTAGGGCCCGCCCAGTGGGCCAGCCAGAGGCTTAGGGCCCGCCTAGTGGGCCAGCCAGAGGCTTAGGGCCCGCCCAGTGGGCCAGCCAGAGGCTTAGGGCCCGCCCAGTGGGCCAGCCAGAGGCTTAGGGCCCGCCCAGTGGGCCAGCCAGAGGCTTAGGGCCCGCGCAGTGGGCCAGCCAGAGGCTTAGGGCCCGCGCAGGAATATCCTTGCAACAAAAAAAATAAGAACAAAGGTAACTGCAGAAGGCCTATTGGCCCATACGAGGCAGCTCCTATTTATAACCACCCAATCCCACTCATATACATGTCCAACCCACGCTTGAAACAATCGAGGGACCCCACCTCCAGCACGTTACGCGGTAATTGGTTCCACAAATCAACAACCCTGTTACTGAACCAATATTTACCCACGTCTTTCCGAAATCTAAACATCCAGTTTATACACATTGTTTTGTGTTCTGTCCTGTGTTGATACTTTTAATACCCTATTAATATCCCCTTTGTTATGTCCATTCATCCACTTGTAAACCTCTATCATGTCACCCTTTAACTCTCCGCCTTTCCAGTGAATGTAATTTAAGCTTTGTTAATCTTTCATCATATAACAGGTTTCTAATTTGGGGAATTAACTTAGTCATCCTACGCTGGACACGTTCTAGTAAATTTATCTATTCTATAATACGGCGACCAAAACTGAACTGCATAATCTAAATGGGGCCTAACT